GGTGACCAAGAAAGGTAGGGATACATTGTGTAGCTGAAACCAGCAACAACTAGGAACAAATCAATCTCCCAAGTCAACCGAGAAGCGAAAGACAAATACAGAAAACCACGACCCTGGGCTACATAAGAAGGTAGGTTGTTGTACCCCACCAGGACATCATACAAACGATAAACACCTGGTGACACAAAGTGCCACCATGCGGATGAGGATCACCCATGGCTAGATCATATTTATGGACAGGCTATATTCAGGGCTCCCCGGCAACAGCCAGGGCGAGGCTTCAAATTAACAAAAAATTGCATCCAACGACTGTGCTACAACAGAAGAAGAAAAAAGCTGCTGATGTTCCACCAGGCCCTAATATAACCTAACGGTTGAACGGGGTTTCCGGGACCTATCCACGGGTGATCCTCAACTGAATGGCGGCACTGTGTCACCAGGTGTTTATCGCTTACTGTGATGTCCTAGTGGGGTAAAAAGTCAGTCAGTCAGTTACCAAGTAACGTGCAGTCCGAAGTTGGGACATACTTCCAGCGGGCAGAGTTCTTGAATGCAGTAATGATAAAAATGGGAGACAATCAAGCAAGGGGAAACCACACCATTTCACGCATACAGGGATTCTGTGTGTGCGTGCCGCGTCTCCCCTGCTGGGATGCTCCATGGAGGTTTTACACCCGGAGATTACATAGTGATCCCAGATACTTTCAACATCACAAAATGTTATAACTGGGGCAATGGCTACACACATGTGTAACCTGCAGTCCGGGGAGTGTAAGGAGTTAGCCATCTTGAGTGGTTGTTACCCTTCTATAACTGAAAACTGAACAATTAACACCCGGTGATCCACAGAGCCACTATTCGGATGAGGATCTTACAGGTAAAAATTCCAGAAACCACATTCAACCATATGACACAGTTTAGATTTTTGCGAAGTAACCTGTGGGTGGATCTTTGATTAACGATCTTAGTTCGTTGCATAACGGTCATATCCAAAGGTGGACGCAGTACAGGAGCTCACTATTTAATATAATGAGTCAGTGTTGTATAATCCAGTCTGGGTTCAGCGGAGCCCCATTTTTGGGGAGGAAGGAGAAACAAATATGTAAAACGGATGTGTACGTAAACCTGAAGTTTTGCAATAAGACCAAAGTCCAGAAGTAGACGAACAACCAGAACTTTCCGCCAGAGTGTACAGTGGGTGAACGAGAAGAAGAAGCTGTTCAGAGTGTAAAGTTTTACCACACTTTGTATAAGAACGCATGGGAATAACAAAGTACATGACCATTTCAAAAAATGTGCTGTACAGTCAGACACGAAGCAATATGCAGTGAATGGCTGTCATCTGCTGGAGTGATTGTTTGCACTCACAGAATGGTGTTGTCAACGGTAGCAATTTGAATTACCGTTCAACAAATAATAACAAAAACGTTGCAGAAGGATTAACAATATGAAGAGACCTATACAGGTATGTCTTAAAGCTGGTGGTGGACAATTCCAAGACCTGTTATAATGATCCCATCATTGGTACTTCCATCTTCCACAGAATAGCGTTTCACCAAATCAGTGATTGTAACTAATATAATGAATTTTTAAGCATGTATTTTTGTGTGTGGATGATGTCATGTACTTGTATTTTTCAAATTTGTTCTACATACAAAGCGTACGGAGACTTTACAAACACCCTCTATTATATGCTGCAACTCTAGCTTTGACATCCCAGTAGAACAGTGACAATTCCTGAAGCACACAAGACTGCAGGTTACACCAGGCTGGTGTGGTCGTTACGGGTGCCTCATTTATAACTTCTTTAGAGGCTGAACGGGGTATGTAGGATTTGCTCTGTGGGTTTGCCACCCAGGATAAAATTCTCGTATTGTCACGGATGATCAAATGGCAATCCGGAGAGGAAATACAGTAGACTGCGCCGTTGACAACCCATAGCACGCATACCATGGCTGGCACATGATACAGTTGTCAATCGTCCGCTGAATTAAGTACACTACATGTATATGCAATTTTTTTTTTAAATAGAAGCATATATATCTTTTCAAACACGTAACTCATATCCTTCCCAGCACAGAGCTGCAGGTTTATATTAGGTCGATGTGGAAGTCGTGGTTGTTCCAGTTATAACGTCTTTGGCGTCCACACACACTCGTACTCACCAACGCTGGACTAAAGATCACGTCGTAACCGTTTTGTGGTACCACAATATAACTGTGCTACTTGGCAATTCCGTCGAACAGGGTTTCCCGGATTTATGCCTGTGTGATTCTCATTCTTGAGATATTACTCCTGCAAACTTCTTTCATCTTGATCCTTTGGTACCTTGCGGTGTTGAGGTGACGCATAATTTACTAGAAAGTGTCCGTTTGTGCGCTTCGTGAATGTTCATTCCCAGGAACTGTTATATCTTCTATCCATCCTTTGCATGGTCGGCCTCTTCTTCGCTTCCCGCCTGCTCTGTTCATCATTTGCTTGCTGTGGCATACTGTTTGCTGACATCTGCATTACATAACCAAACTATTAGAACTGTTGTCTTCTAATTAAATTCAGAGCTGCTGCTACCCTCATTCTCCTTCGGATTTCATCATTCCTGATCTTATCTCTTATTTTTATTTTAAGAGCCCTTCGCACGAATCTCCTTCCAGTTGTTGTAATTTGTTGTCTCCTGTCATTGTCTAGGTCTGGCTTTGGTAGTACAGTGTTGACAAAAAGATTATGCCCCGGACACATGTTTGTTTCTTAGTATTTGGGTTATTTACCCATGCAGTTGGTTTTTCTCTATTACATCTGACAACGGTTCTCATCTTTTGATTTCATCTCATCCTGCAAACTGAGATCCTAAAAGGGGGTGGTGGAGGGTGAAGGGGGGGTGTTGGAGGTGGAGAGGATATGTGGGATTTGTTCCGTAAGCTTGCCATCCAGACTGAGATTCTGTAATCTTAGGGCTGTTACACCTCAGTCAGCAGGCGGAGAGACGGAAAGAAGCTAGTTCTCAGTCTGTCAGTCTTCTAGATTGCAATCCCGGAAAAGGAAACATAAAATGACCACACAAAAAAAAAAAAAAAAAAAAACACTAGCAGAATACTGTTTGCATACTGTTTACAGCCATGTAAAACTGTATATACACAGAGCATCTACCCTTAAGACATTCCCTGCAGGGAGTGCTGCATATTTAGGCACGCTCTCTATGCTGTGTTGTCGATTCTAAAACCAGAACCCAGTGGAACAGATAAATCGAGGCAACATTCTGTCCATTGTGGGTGGGTATTATTATAGCAGGTGTTTCACTCGTGGCGGAACGCAGTTATTTCATTAATAACTCGGACACTAATCAAGATATGGCAACAAAGTTTGGAGTGGACTTATCTTCTTTCATGCCAAGTCGGACGACATCATAAGGAACCTTGAGGCCTTAAACGCCAACAGCAGTGCGACCATCCAAGCAGTAACACCTGGCGTACTGAGACACTCTTTTCACAACATGGAATACGGCGTCCAATGCTGCCTTGACGTCAATGGTGCGCATTTTTAGCACCTGTTCTGATGTCACCCGATTTCGCATGAGGAGGTAAGTCCATTCCACATTTCCTTGCCATATCTTTTTTTTAGTGTATCAGTTATGAACGAAATACTGGGTTCCATCATGAGTGAAACCCTCGATATATGTCTCCCCCTCCACGATTTGCAGACTGTAGGATTAACGTCTCAAGGATGAGAATCAAACAGGTACAAATTTGAAAACCCCGTTTAACAGTAGAGTCATTGAGCACAGTTATATGGGAGCACTAAAAAACGGTTACGAAGTAACATGTAGTCCAGTATAGGTAAGTCCGAGTACAACGCCATTAAGTATACCGTGAAGTGCTCGGCGCAGCACTGTGAGTTGTGTTTTCCATGTGGAATGCCTTTCTTTTGTGCAGCGATTGAGTCGTGGTATTTAATATGGCCGGTAGCCCGTTTTTGCGAGGGCTGGTGAAATACCTTATGTAATAATCCTACGTGTATGTTGCCAACTTGTCGTGACCGACTACTTCCGTCAACGACAAACTGCATTTCTAGTGGCGACTGTTGGCTTTGGTGCCTCCAGCAACTGTCTTAAGCATTTACTGCGTGGGCATATTTCTGTATTATGCCAGGACAAATTGTTTATTCATTTGTTTTTCAAAAGTGATAGTGAGGAACATTTCATTCGACTTTCACTGGCACGGGAACGAAGCAACTGTGGGGTGACCGGTTGTAGTGAAGTTAAAACCTAGACTTAAGTCTTGTGAATAGTATAGACTCCAAAGACTGGCTTCATCGCCTCTCAAGAAATGGGTCAGTGGATCATTATATAAGCTGAGCATGTACTAGAACACTGTAGATCAGTTTTTCCCAGCGTGAAATCCACGCCACACAGGGTGCGAATTTGATTGTTAAGTGGGAGCAATTTGATCGTTGAGGGGGGAAATATTTGAATTTTAAAAATCATGTATATGTTACATAGGGGACATAAGAAGTTTAGAAAGGCTTAGGTGGGGTATGGCATACCAAAAGGTTCATAAACAGAGTTGTAGACTGAAGACTGTTAACAGAGAAGCAATATAGCCGGTTCCAACCTCAGTCAAAATAAAGCTGTATGGTACACGGGAGATTTGGACTGCAACATAGCTTTCATCGTGGCTATTGGCCGCTTGATATAAGGTTTTCTGATAGAAGGATCGAAGAAACAAAAAAGAAGGAGCAGAAGACGAAGAGGAGGAGGAAGAAGAAGAAGAAAAAGATGATGAAGAAGAAGAAGAAGAAGAAGAAGAAGAAGAAGAAGAAGAAGAAGAAGAAGAAGAAGAAGAAGAAAAAGAAGAAGAAGAAGAAGAAGCAGAAAAAGAGAAAGAAGAAGAAGAAGAAGAAGAAGAAGAAGAAGAAGAGAAGAAGAAGAAGAAGAAGAAGAAGAAGAAGAAGAAGAAGAAGAAATCCTTACTTGTTAAATTAACTAACATAACTAATGAGGAACACACTTACATTAAAATCAACATCATTGTAGCGGTAGTACAGGTTGCCGCTGAAGAAATACGTCCGACCGTTTTTCCACTTGAGCGCGGCGTCTATATGTGAAGGAAGTCCGACCCACACTGACATGGGTTTGGGGTAGCCGGGATCTACGTGGTTAACAGTATACCTCCAGTACAGGTCCCCTAGGTAGGAAAACAAATATATATATATGTGTGCCGCAAAAAAAAAAAAAAAAAAATTGGGGGGGGGGGGGGGGCCTGACAAAAAAAGTATGAGAAACGCTGAGTTAGCAATAGCCCCGTTTGTTGACGTCAGCAGCATTACCCGTCAGCTGGAGACGGTCTTGACATAACCAGTCCTAGGATTTCTCGGGTTGCTTTAGGTTTTACTAGACACCACGCCCACAGTTGTGGACAGTGGCCATTGTACTTTATGCTGGTTATAATACTTCCAGAATCTCACGTCGTATTCGTAGATCAAGAGAAAGAGTTTAATCGAGTTAATAGGAAATAATTATGGAAGATATTACCAAGAGAGACACTACGTAGAACCATCATCAGAAAGGGCTCAATCATGGTGCCTCATGAACACCCAAAACCTAAAACAGGCGCCAACGAACCGCCAGACACGGAGAGCTATGACCTCTGCCCTATGCGCCGCCCTAGGCCCGAGAGGAAAGGCTAAAAAACTACATGATTACGAAGCAGACGGTCATCTGTGTTTAGTGAGAACAAACACAGGAATGTCATAGAGGTTCTACATTAGATCTGGAATGACAACGGGGCTACTGTTCAACCAAGGTGTGGCTTTTTTTTGTTTTTTTTTAATATTAGGATATATCTTTTAGCGTACTGGGCATATAGGGCTAAACCTATATTGTATAGACCCAGTGACACTTGGTGGGTGATGTGGTCAACATAACGCCGGCTGCTCTTCCTTTCCAGGACTGCACCTAGTACCCGCTCAAGGCTGGGGGCCAAGTTCATTCTAAATGAAAGCCTAGTTCTGTTAGGACACGAACCCACAACCTTTCGATTTGCAGGCGAGCGTCTAGCCGCTACACTACGGCGATTCCCGTTTTTAAAATAATAACAGGATAAAACGGGAAAGTGTCATTATCTCAGTCACCGTGTGGACACCGCATAAGCGCGCGATGCGTTACAACTGATTACCATTTTAAAATTATTTGCGTTTCTGGCTGCTGTTTTTCTGTAACGCAGTACGTTAAATGGGCAATTAGAGCTAAAATGTCCACCCTGTGTCTAGATCTGTCCCACCCTGTGTCTAGATCTGTCCCACCCTGTGTCTAGATCTGTCCCACCCTGTGTCGCTCAAGTTGTAGACACCATGATTTGACACCATTTTTTTTACACACATACTCACAGACGCATTTAGTCGCGTAAACACCGGAGCTCGTGACGAACGTAAATTATTGGTATTTTATATTTGTTACCACATTGGCTAATCTGCTTTTTCTTTGCGTTCATTAGTTGTAAACTCTGGTGGAAAGTTCTGGTTGTTCGTTCACTTCTGGACTGCAGTCCTGTCCCAGAACCTGAGTGTTGCGTGTGCATCCGTTTGACAGATCTGACACATTTGTGTGCAGACTGTTGGTTCCTTGCCTCTCAGGCAGATGCACTCCGACTTCGAAGAAAGCTCCCAATTGGGCGACTCTTACGATATGCTTCTGGGTAGGCAGTGGGTCTATTCTGGTTTTCCCTATAGTAGGGCCCCGAAACCCACACGGGTAACATTGGCTAATGAAGCCGTTGGCATGAAGTGTCAGAGACGTAAAATGGTAATGAACACTAAAGTAGAGCCTCCACCGTTGACCATTTCTCTCTGTCGACAATCTTCACAGTTGACAATCTATCTTCAGCTTCAGCTTACTACTTCTAGTGCTGCAGCTAGTACTACAGCTGTTGCTGCTGCCGCTACTACTACTACAGCTGCTGCTAGTATTGCTGCTACTACTGCTGATGCTTGCCAAAGTTTACGGGTTCATACTCAAGACAGTATTACAAATATAGATAATTTATTCCAACAGACCAAAAGAAGAATTGACCGACTACACCAATACAGGAACGTAAAAAAAAAAATTAATTAATTATGTTTATTGTTTTTACCTTTTATAAAATATGTTTTTCCATTTCCTCCCCAAACAAAGGCTGCATTAATTTTTCCCGGAATGCCTTTGAATCCTTCTTCTATACTTCGTACATAGATGAGGTTGAAATTGTAGAATTTCCAGTAGTAGTCTCCCTTGAGTAAATAAATGACGAGTTAATGGTAACTACAGTTGCAGACGTTATAATTTTGAAATGATGGGACACCACGTGAAATAACTGGACGTCACGTGTATGTGTGGTGTGTGTCGATGTTATATCATATTGACGTATGGTGTGAAATAATGTTAGGCGATGCCATGTCACATTTAAATATTATGTGAAATAATGGGACGTCACGTTTACATGTGTTGTGAGGCGATGTTATGTCACATTTATATATGATGTGAAATAATGGAACGTCATATGTATATGTTGTGTGAAGCCACATATACGTACGATGTGATGCCACATTTACGGTGTGGGGAGAGGGGATGTAATGACACATGTAAGTGTGGTATCAGAATATGGGATGCTACATTTGCGTGTGGAATGAGCGGAGGTAATGCCACATTTAAGTAAAGTGTGAGATGATGTGATGCAACATTTACGTGTGAAGTGAGGTGATGTGATGTCACACATGCATCTAGTATGATGTGATGTAATCATGTCTTGAACATCCGGTATGATATGGCTTATGAGTGGTGTAACGACTACTTATCTGACTGACTGTTCCACTTCTATCTATCATCCACCAAGCTACTAACCTCTGTCTGTCTCTCTGTCCGTTCTCATGTATGCCCTTTCGCGTGTCCGCTAGTCTCTTTATCTATTCGTCTGTAATTTTACCTATTCAGCTATTCATCTCCCCCCCCCCTTTTTTCGCGTTCAGCAGCTGTAAACTTTGGCAAATGGTTCGGTTGTTCGTCCACTTCCGGACTCACGCGTTGTTCCAGAACTTGAATTTTGCATGTACATCCGTTTTTCTGATCAGCCATATTTCCATGCAGCTGATTCCTTGCTTCTCACGCAGATCCACTCTGACTTCGAAGGAAATCTCTCATTAGTCGACTCTTACTCTTACTGTTATATAGGCAGTGGGTATACCCCCCCCCCCCCGCCCATGGGAAACCGGTTGCGGAAATCCAGCTATTAATCAGCCTAGCCATAAGTCTGCCTGGCCCTCTGTCCGAGTGCCCATCCGTCCGCGTGTCCAGCTGTCAGTATGGTCGACTGTCGATACTCAAAGTGTTGGCTGAGAATACCTTAAATAAATACGTGTACCCGTTGTCCCAGTGTAAGGCACTATCAATGGGACCCGTTATACCCTTCCAGTCCTCCTCGATCTCTCGAGGGTAACCGTCAGCGATCCCGTAGCTGTCCAGTCTATAGTATTGGGTATCTGCAAGCAAACAAAAATCCAGCAGTGTTAGTAGATGCTCCAGGATATTCAGGGTATAGTCAGGTGAGGAAGGGGCGCTGGCACTGGATATGACACACATTGTGGGGAAACCTGATAACAATACATCTGGAACCAACAAATTGAAAGGAAAGTGTAGATCTCTCTTTCTCTCTCTCTCTCACTCTCTCTCTCTCACACACGCACGCACGCACGCACACACACACACACACACACACACACACACACACAAACTCAGAGAGGATTTCCTGCTTTTACATTAGTCATTTTCATATGTACGTCTGTGTTCGTTGTTGTTATCCCTGTATTCTGAAAATTATTTTGATGCACTGGTGTTCTTACAGTCTGTTTGATAGTATAATTTATCACCTTGTCTCACATGGTTAAGTTTGTGGTTTTTCCTCGGGCGTTTGATTTCACAGTTGTTAATTTTACGTTGGCTTGATACTGTCCATGTCTGGCACTTGTAGCACAGTGTTGGTAAGAATATGCTCTTCATAATCTGTTTCCTTGTGATGATACTGGAATTTTGATGTCTTACAAGCGGTGTAGGGAGCTGCATGGTCTTGAGGCATGATGTCCGCCTGGAGTGCTAGAGGATCCGGGTTTAATCAGTGAGTTGATAGCAACAACAGGAAGATAAAGCAAACACATGCTATTTGAAAGGATTTACAAAATGCGCTATTTCGTCTTTCTCTAGTGTGTGACTAGAGTGTCATAATTTTAATTCTTGCATTCTTCGTTTTCTTTTCACAGTTGCTGTTGTTTTGTTGTTGTTGTTGTTGTTGTTGCTGCTGTTGTTGTTGTTGTTGTTCTTCTTCTTCTTCTTTTTCTTCTTCTTCTTCTTCTTCTTCTTCTTCTTCTTCTTCTTCTTCTTCTTCTTCTTCTTCTTCTTCTTCTTCTTCTTCTTCTTCTTCTTCTTCTTCTTTTTCTTCTTCTTTCTTCTTCTTCTTCTTCTTCTTCTTCTTCTTCTTCTTCTTCTTCTTCTTCTTCTTCTTCTTCTTCTTCTTCTTCTTCTTCTTCTTCTTCTTCTTCTTCTTCTTCTTCATCATCATCATCATCATCATCATCATCATCATCATCATCCTCTTCTTCTTCTTCTTCTTCTACTTCCTCCTCCTCCTCATCTCCCCTCCTCATCCTCACGATCTTCTCTTCTTGTTCTTGTTTTTGTTCTTCTCCTCCTCCTCCTTCTACTCCTCCTCCTCCTTCTTCTTCTTCTTCTTCCATCATTTCCCTTTTCTTCGTCTTCATTTGACTTATTGCTTCAATTGTTCGGACACATTTGGCTCGTGTGATTATAGCAACGCTATTTGCCATGTTCGGTGGATAGAATCGAATTCTTTTATGCACTTTTTTTCCCCCTTACCTAACATTCTAATGGTATAAGAAATTTGTATAATCAACATCAAATGAAAAGAAAACGTCGACAGGTATAACCAAAAGGCTATTACGCATGTATATTTAAAGCTTCCTTACCTTTAAAAATATAAGTATAGCCATCAGAATTCATGGTAATTGCATCTATTTTGGAATCTATACAAATCTTTGGTACGTTCAGACTGGGATCTCTCGTTGGCGGTCGCGGGGGAGGCAGTTTCACAAACTCTTTCCCGCCATACCTTGGAGACCCTGGATATTGAGATGATGGTTAAATTTAACGCCACAAAAATAATGGATGTCTCTTCAAATATGTTAAGACTTTTTTTTTTTAACGATATAACTGCTGTATAACATTCACGCCATCTGCAGGAGTTTTAAAATTTACGTATAGAGTTAATGTCACCAAAGTCTATACAACCACTGTATAATACGTGTAAAGCGTTCACTTTAAAACATCTACTATTCACAGTATTGTTTATAAACAGTATAAACAGAGCATCCCATTACAGAATAAATCACTTTTGGCGTTAATGCCAAAAAAAAAAAAAAAATCAAATTTACTGTATAATTTCTCTATAGTGTTCATATAAAACAAAGACTCATTTGCGGTATAATTCTTGTATAGCCTTCGGATTTAAAAAAAGTAACCGCGTTTACCGTATTATTCCCGTAAAGCGTTTATGTAAAGAAAAAGGTCTCCATTCTACCGTATAATTTCTGTATAGCTTTCATGTATCCCATTTGACGTAAAGTTCCTGTTTAGCGTTTATGTTATTAAAAAAAGAAGTCTCATATCTACCGTATAATTTCTATATAACGTTCAGGTAAAAAAAAAAAGATCACGTTTACTGTATAATTCCTGTGTAGCATTCATGTTTTAAAAGAAGTCTCCCATTTAGTGTATAATTCCTGTATAGCGTTTATGAAAAAAATAAAAGTCTCCTATCTACCGTAAAATTTGTGTATAGCGTTCATGTATCCCATTTACCGTATAATTCCTGTATAGCGTTCATGTCATCTTGATCTAGCTGGAAATGTTTCTGGTAGCCCCTGTAAAATGGGGCCATTAGGGCTGTGCTGACGTCACTGTGAGATAGTCCCAGCGAGTGGCCGAATTCATGGGCGGCTACTTGGAACACGTTGATACCTAGAAATGGAAGGGTGTTTAGAGACTGAACAACAAACAAAAGCCAACTGAATAAAAGCTTATAAAAATACATCCCATTCGCGTTGACCGGAAATTTTATATTAACATGGACCTCCAGATCGACCCAGCTAAAATGGGAACCAGAAATGTACTTGGAAGTAAAGGTGACTACATTGTTTTTCACCACATCAGCCATCCAGGGGTGATTATTCTTAATATATGTGTCTTGCACCATAAGTACGAACCGACAAAGGAGTAAAAGAGGTCCTTTATGTAACTTATCTATAGAAGATGGAATGTCAGTCAGTCAGTCAGTAGCATGTCCTTTGCAGAGTCTTGCTCCATAACAACCCTCAGGAAAACTCGATCACAAGCAAGATGTCCCGCGTCCGATACACCCATCTGGAGATTATCCGCCACATCCTGCACCTATCTTGTCTTTGGCCTTCCTCTTCCTCCCTTTCCAGGCATATACCCCTCCATTATTGTTCTCTCAAACTTTTGTGACGTTTCAAGTGACCAAAATATTAGAATTTTCTGTGTTTTGTCGTCTTTAATTGACAATTGTATTGACTGCACTAAACAGGCGGGTGGCAGATTACGTTCGGTATGACGTGTACTTCTGCTAGTGCAATACTGGCTTTTGTGATTATCTTTTGCGCCAACAGCGAGCTGCAATTCTTGTCTGGGACATCAAATTTTGGCACATCTGATAGCTGCCTTACGCACTTTTACTTTGCGTGTGCAAACTTCAACATTTTGCTGGGACTGCTAGTTTTCAAATGGATTAGTGAAGAATATTTCTAGGTGATTTCCACTAGCACATGAACTTAGCAGTTATGGATGTACCCGTTTGCAGTGATACTGAAAAGTTGACTAACAGTCGATGATTAACGAGAAAGCGAGTTTAGTGATACTGAAAAGTTGACTAACCGTCGATGATTAACGAGAAAGCGAGTTTAGTGATACTGAAAAGTTGACTAACCGTCGATGATTAACGAGAAAGCGAGTTTAGTGATACTGAAAAGTTGACTAACAGTCGATGATTAACAAGAAAGCGAGTTTAGTTACCTGATGACAAATTTATCGTCCAATCCTCGTCGTCGTCGAAGTGTGCGTCACCACCATACTGGGGGAAGAAAGCGTGCGCTAAAGTTTGCCCGCGTCCATCGAATGGATTCCCGTCGCCATGACTACGCCGTGTAAACTTCACATCGATGTCTACTCTCTCGTCGTATGGGCGCAGGATGAAGTTCAGGGGAGTTACATCCCCCCAAACCTGCTCAGAAAAACAGCAAACCATTATATAGTAAAGATGTAATTAAATTACTTTTGTAGGTCTATTTCTTGTTGTTGTTTGTTGTTGTTGTTGTTGTTGTTCTTCTTCTTCTTCTTCTTCTTCTTTTTCTTCTTCTTCTTTTTTTTTTTTTTCTTCTTCTTCTTCTTCTTCTTCTTCTTCTTCTTCTTCTTCTTCTTCTTCTTCTTCTTCTTCTTCTTCTTCTTCTTCTTCTTTCTTCTTCCTTCTCTTCCTTATCGTCCTTCTATTCCTCCTTCTTCCCTTCTCCTTTTTCTCCCTTCTTCTTCTTCCTCATCCTCCTTCATCTTTTTCCAGCCCTCCTTCTTTTTCCTCCTCCTCCTCCTTCTTCCTCTTCTTCTTCTTCTTCTTCTTCTTCTTCTTCTTCTTCTTCTTCTTCTTCTTCTTCTTCTTCTTCTTCTTCTTCTTCTTCTTCTTCTTCTTCTTCTTCTTCTTCTTCTTTCTTCTTGCTTCTCTTCCTTTTCTTCCTCCTCTTCCTTTTCTTCCTTCTCTTCCTTATCGTCCTTCTATTCCTCCTTCTTCACTTCTCCTTTTTCTCCCTTCTTCTTCTTCCTCATCCTCCTTCATCTTCTTCCAGCCCTCCTTCTTTTTCCTCCTCCTCCTTCTTCCTCTTCTTCTTCTTCTTCTCCTTCTCCTTCTTCTTCTTCTTCTTCTTCTTCTTCTTTTTTTCTTCTTCTTCTTCTTCTTCTTCTTCTTCTTCTTCTTCTTCTTCTTCTTCTTCTTCTTCTTCTTCTTCTTCTTCTTCTTCTTCTTCTTCTTCTTCTTCCTCCTACTCCTCCTCCTCTTCTTCTTCTATGGCTTTCTGGCTTGTGCTCTTGTCTGGTCCCACACCTTTTAACATGTTGTTCTTGCAGTGTGGTCATTGTTGCAGATTCACTGTCATCACTTGGTTCTTGCAAACGTCTTCAGAATATCAGCATGGTCCATGGCTCCTTCGCCCTCCACTGTAGCTTTACTAGCAAGCCGATCAGCTTGCTCTTTTCCTTGCACGCCTGCGTGCTCTGGCACAAATATGAAGCTGATATGTGTCAGCCCCCACCGTTCTAGAGACTTCAGCCACTGTCATCGGATCCAGACCTCCTCAAAGTTATAGCCCCAGTGTATTACTTCACAATTCTAACCTAGCCTGAGTCGTAGAAGCCCAAGGGTTCTCACATGGCGAATTGCAGACCCATCTGTGTCAGTGCAGCATCACCCTGTAGAGAACGAGGAGACCAAGGGCCTGAGCACTGTTAAAGGTTGTAATAATAATAAGTTGTAATGAAAATAATATTTGGGCTTCTAAAAGAAGAAAAACAGGTGCCGGTACTCACCCCGAAGGGTATATTACAATGGCACTAAAACAATCATGCTTTAAACAGTGCCAATACACCGTGTCATCAGAGAAAAGTCCTGATGATGATGATGATGATGATGAAGATAATACTAAAAATAATAATGTTCTGAATGGCAAAAAGAATATAGTAATATATTTAAAATAATTTGAAACACATAATAATACTTTAAAAGAAAACGTATATACCTGGCTAGTAGGCAGCCACTTAACCCCTTTATAATTCGTCTGGCGTCTTACGTCCCCCTCAACCCATTCCCCCCCCCCCAATCCCAAACATTTCCCCACCCCCACCGCCGCTTTCCTGCATACAATCGTTTCTGTGGGTTCAAGAGTACGAAACCCTGATAAGAACATAAGACGTTTTAACAATTGTTAGACTCAAGTTAAATGTCATGATGTCACGATGACGGTTGAAACGATGCATTCAGGGGTTAAAAACTAGAAACATTGTGAAGCGTATCCTCTAATTTGACTAACCTTTAGGGCTTTATGTACCTCTTTCTCCGCCATGTCACGTGATATACCTCTGGGGTATTCCGAGATTTTGAAGGTCAGGTCACGTTTGGCCCATTTGCTGCCTGGTGAGGTGAGGAAGTTGATGATAGTTATCAGACAATTTGTGATAAAAATAAATAGATACTTGTTCAAGTGAAAATATTTTTGCCACTGTTTGTAGAGCATCACAAAGGGTAAAGTAAAAGGAGAATGCGGTCGAGCAGATGACAAGAAGTAACTATATACAGTGGTATCTCGGGTGGGTAGCAAGGATTGGTATGTATAAGTCCCACCTAAAATATTGAAGATGCCTGCGAGGAACTCATAGCCCATGCCAATCAAGCCAACCGTACCTACATATGGTGCTATGTGTTGTAACAGACACGGCATTGGCGTACAGCGAGTCTACATCGCTAACAAAATGGATCCCCGATGCCTAAGGGGTAAAATACCAGGCTATGGCTGGGGTGAGCCAGACAGAAATCCTTGGTGAGTGTGACCTCCCTCCCCCACCCCGTAAGGTGCTGTCGATTTCCACCGGCGTGTGGCATTGTCCAGATTCATACCAAGGTCACACCTAGGGAGCCCACTCTGGCTAATCAAAGGCGGAGAAGGGAAACTCCCACAACCTCTGATTTCTGGCAGGAAGTGTTTGGATCACGGCCTTCTCTATTTATTAGAGAAGGCAGTGGTTTGGATGAACCAGGACATAGAAAGGAAGACTCCGTAACTTCCCCCCACCGAAGACGGACATTTCGGTCTGAATGACGTGGGCACTCAGAAATAGAAACGCAACCTACGGTTAATGAGTATGCCGAGATACCTACATCGTTTTGGGGTTGCTCCCGTGGACTACTGCCAGGCAGGAACAGCGCCCGATTCCGAGCCTCTGCCCTCAGCGTAACAGAAAATATTTAAGGAAAAGTTACTTTTTCCCGGCTCAAGACTTACAGGGTGTTTGCTCATTGTCCAAGCTGTTCACAGATAAATCGGCACTCCACGATACATGCGGTCAATATCATACAGACAGGATTTTTCCACGGAACATTTCCTGTGCCCATTTTAAGCTGGGTCGCCCAGGAACCCCAGTCAGTTAACTCTTTTTAGTCTCATTAGGTTCTGAAGCAAGTTAAATGTTGAATGTTAAGTTAAGAATCGAAATCACATCGATATTTCCATAAGCAGGGCCGTCTTAACTCATGGGCTCCCTGGGAACTTGCCGGGGAGCCTTAGAAGTACTGGAGTCCGATGCTAATCTGAGTAACTCGTTGTAAATAAAAATGTCTTTCCTTTGAGTGTTGTCATAGGGGTCGCAGTATACTGATTTGCCCAGGGGCCATGAGGCTTTTCAGACACCTCTGACTATAATAGCTCCATCCCTATCTTCAGCAGCAAGCCCAGAGTTTCAGTTCCAATGGCACTAGTAAATGTCTCATTGTATGTCTGTCTCGTAGTTCCCTTGAGTGTTGCGCGTCGGCCAGATCCCCTTGTAACTCCTCGCAGCGCCATTTTCCTCAGACTGAAGATCTGATCACTCACCACCAAAGAACCCTCACAACATCTAGCTTGTCCTGTATCTATTCACCACACCGTAGTGCAAAACCAGTCATTCTATTTGCATGACCGCTTCCCAACACACCGGCATAACCTGGGGAAAATATCCAAAGGACGCGAACCACTCGGGACCTCTGAAGCGATGCTTGCCACTCTGGACTGAGCGATTCCTAGAAGGAGAACCCATCTCTACCAAATCTGACAACAATAGCACTTTAAACACACTAAATACACCGCAGAAGTGGCCAACAGGAGACGCCAGATTTCTTAAGTATACTCTGACCAAACGTAAAATATATACATATGAACGCATTACGCTATGGCTGGGGTTCATGGTGAAGGGTCATCATAAATCATGCGCTGTGTGGGACTCAAAGAGTTAAAGAACATACTCAATGAATACATGTCTTTGGTTACCTTGTAAAGCGTATCTCTTCCTCCTAGCGCCCAACCCCAGCTCGATGTCGTCCTTGTTGCCACATCTTGGCATTCTCATAATTGTCTGCGTGGCGTTGTCCAGCTTACCTGTGTTACATCATGTGAGAAATCAGTATTTGTGAACATGGGAGGACAGAAAGACGATTACACTTAAATACATTTCTGGATTTTTTTTTACCCCACCAGGACATCACACAAGCGATAAACACCCGATGACACAAAGTGCCACCATGCGGATGAGGATCACCGTGGAGAGGTCCCAGAAACCGCGTTCAGACATTTGGCCATAATGATGACCTGCCTATATTGCGGCCCCTGGCAAAAGCCAGAGTGGGGCAAATACCTTTCTATCCACTTGCTTACCTATATAGTCACCTGTCTGTCTGTCTGTCTGTCTGTCTGTCTGTCTGTCTGTCTGTCTGTCTGTTTATCTGTCTGTCTGTTTGTCTGTCTGTCTGTCTGTCTGTCTGTCTGTCTGTCTGTCTGTCTGTCTGTCTGTCTGTCCGCCCGCCCGCCCTCCCGCCCGTCTGTCTGTCTGATTGCATACCTGTCTGTTTGAGTAAGTCTTTTTTTAAATCAAGCTAGTCTTGTCTGTCTGCCAATTTATCTGTCAACAGGTCTGTCTGCGTGTGTATATCTGTCTGTTCTGTACTTAACCTCACTTTGTCGGTCAGTTTTTATCTAACCTACCTATCCCCCATAGGAATACGCATAAAAAACAAACCGTCATAAGTCATCGGTAAGGAAGATAACAAAGCCAAATCAAGGGAGACCAATGAGATCATTTGGCAGAACTAGGACAGCGTGACACACGTCAGAAGATATCTCAGTACAGACCTACATCTGAGAAACTAGGGGACACACAAACACCACACAAACAGATTAGGTTAACAAGGGCGCCAGAACCTAGTGGGGGGGGGGGGTGGATCTTTATAGCAAAAATTATAATAAATAAATGAATACACAAATAAACATGCAATCGAATGAAATATCCAGTTCTCTTAGTAAAATCTCCGTCCCAATATAAAATGCAATTTTGGGTTAGTTTAAAGCCCCACCCCGTCTATAGTCTGGGGCCCTAATACAACCTAGCGGTTGAACGGGGTGTCTGGGACTTGCGCCAGGGTGAGCTTCGTCTAAATGGTGGCACTTTGTGTCAGCGGGTGTTGGTCGCTCGTTGTATAGTTTGCTAGAGGGGTTTGAAGTTTGAACAACGGATCAACATCATGGCACACGGGTAGTAACCCATAACTCAAGTCTGAGTCCGAAGAAGCTCAGCACAGTGCACAGGCTCTGTAGCATCGGCGAGGATCCTGAAATACTTTGGGTAGATTTTTTAAAACTCCAAACTGTGTCCGGGCAGCGGCGTTAAGCTACTCTTTTCGATTTACAACTGCCAAGAGATTTTATACGTGCGCAACAATGCACACGGGCGTCAGATCTCACTACCCAGAGACCCGGGGGAAATACTAGAATTCAAAGTCCACGTGAAAAAATCCCAGCATTTACCGGGGATTGAACTGGAACCTTTAGCCCTCGAGGTGGACGCCATACTTCGAGACCACACAGCCCCCCCCCTCTCCTAGTGGGGTTGAACGACAGACACATTATTATTTTTATTTGTGTGTGCATGCTCTGCCCTTAGGAAATTCCAAGAGGTTGAATGCCCGCCTCTTGGTAAATTATGAGAGGCGGAACGTTCACCGCTTGGTAAAGAGACTAAACGGCCACCGCCGCCCCCATGTTTCCTTTGTGTGGCGCTCCTGTAGGTTGATAGAGACCTGAGGTGGGGGAAAAAAGGGTTAAGGGGAACAAAGCAGAGGAGGCCTGACCTATATCCCATTTATGACTTTTAATAGAAAAACAACAGAACCAGTCACATGAGAACATAAAGAACATGTTGTTTCCCGCTAAAAATATTTTCGTTAGTCTTTTCTGTCGCTTTCGGTCATTTTGTGCGCAGATGTTAAAACTAAAGATGGTTTATTTTCAATTTATTTTAAAATGATGATGCCATTTAAAGCCACTCATTGTTAGAATTTCATTTTATAATTATGTTTACACATCTTGGGACTCGCTAGCTCATCACCTCGGTAACTGCGTATAGGGTATTGCTTGTATCTTGACCTAGATAATATACTGCATTAGACGATCAAGTGCTAATGCAGTAGGAAGAAAGATGTGAGGAAGGTGAGAATGCGAAAGAAGGAGAAGAAGACGACGACGACGACGACGACGACGACGACGACGACGAAGAAGAAGAAGAAGAAGAAGAAGAAGAAGAAGAAGAAGAAGAAGAAGACGGAAAATATACGGCACGGTAACTAAAGCTTTCAATGTTTGTGTTGTCTAGTGTGTAATTCTATCTGTCTACCTCTTCCAATGAGTGCCTGTCAATACATTTTCTGTCTATATATATATATATATATATATATATATATATATATATATATATATATATATATATATATATATATATATAATGAATTGAAACTGACAATCGCAGCAGTGAACTCAAGGGCTCGGAATGCTGAAGAAGAAGACGAACTGCACTCGATAGGCTATGTGGTTAGCATCATACTGATCGTCTTTACTTCCAGATATCTGTACCAGTTATAGGCTGCGTCGATCTGGGAGGCACGGTCAGTTTTAGAGAACCAAAAAAATATCTCAATGCGGATTTAAATCCTCAGTGTCTGGAAGAAGACTTGAGTCCAGAACTAGACGAACAACCAGAACTTTCCGCTGGAGTTTTACAGCCGGTGAACACGAAGAAGAAAAAGAAAGAATCATAGATCTTCTGTAAGTGAGGTCAACGTCAAGCCAGATATCTACTGCGGTTGCAATGTCTGTGACCACCTATAACAAAATCTAACAGAGTCTCTGAGGTTGTGGAGGTAAAGAAGAACAGAGGATATTTCATGGAAACAAAAATAGTCCAATGCAGAAGTTTTGAAGACGCTAGGGATAAAAAGAAAATTGCTAAAGAAAATTAAAAAAAAAAATTGACAAATGAAATATTTCATCTACATTAAAGGTCATATGCTTATAAAAACCACACTGGTGGGAAAGAGTCCTTGAGCAAGAGGCAGATAGTGATACAAGATGGAGAACAAGATTATGATATGGATGAACAACAGTCTCAGAGAGTGTACATCTAGGGCTTAAAATGGAATCTGCTGTAGACCCATTGCAGCCAACCCTCATTTTGAAGACGACACCTAATTAAATGATTGAATGATTGATCATTCTCTACTCAGTAAACGGATCACCATAGTCTGGTGAGATTGATGCAGCGTGGACTGACCAGAGGTTCTGGCAGATGCTTGAGGCTCAGAGGAAAGTTGAGAAGGACGTTTAATCAGACTGCTACTGGTACTATTAGAATCGGAACTCTTCACTGGCTGCTGAAGATGGGGACAAAGCGCTTATGGGAATGCCCTGAGTGCTGTGATGTCGGTTCTTGAATCAACTCAACTCAGTGCGACTCATCCTCTACTCACCTGTGATTGGTATACTGGCCATTTTCTGAAAATGTTTGAGAGCGCTGATGAATGAATCTTCGGACCTCAGCGCCCCTGTCCTGGGATCCTGCTCTTTCAGGTATCCGTATTTGACAAGGTAATCCTGGATAACAGAAACGATAACCTTTAAAGCCAAACACGGAGCAAGAGATCATTCGATAACATAACATATCAAAACAAGAGATCAATTGCGTAATTCTACCCTCTCAATACTAAACAGGTCACTAGTATTTGTTATTCGACTAAGTCAGCGTGTGTGGCTAAGGCGTTGCATACATGCTTCGTAATGCCAGGGTGCCGGGTTCGATCCAAGCTGCATACGATTAGATAGCAGACCGCCATGCGTGGGTATCGACAGTGGTAGTGGGAGCCGACCATATGGCAAACTACTAAACGTACAGTTTTGTCTAGAAAAACTGCAACAGTCAAAACAATGCTGGTGTTGGTTCTGCAACGTCCTGTAAAGGATACGCAACTAACATTTCTTTTTATTCCTTTAAGAGAAACACTGAGACGAAAGTTGTCGAGAGAGGCCAAAGTCCCTGGACTGGATTCCATATATGATATTGAAAGGATTGCATAGGATAGAGTGGAATGGAGGGGGGGGGGGGGGCTACACTATGAGCCATATGTGTTATTGGCACGATAGGGTGAATAATAATAATAATAATAATAAGTTTTTTCATAAATAAGTATAGTATTCTTCTTCTTCTACTTCTTCTGCTCTTCCACCTTGTACCTCAGCGAAGTGTCAGAGGGAAGAGGTAACATTCGTAGATGAGCTCTGTCAAGAGCACTGTTAGGATTGGTGTTCATTTCTGTAAGGCTGTTCTTAATGCCATCACTCCATATTTTTCTTGTTAGGTGTCCACACCACTTCATTTGTTCTTTGATGACCTGTAAGACTAGCTTTATTCATAGCATTCGTCTGATTTCGTGATTTCTTATTCTGTCTTTCCTTGAAACTCCTGCAGCTCTTCTTGTCACAATTTTACATTCATTAGAGGATGTAAGTATAATATTAACCCCTTGTATCTAAACTGTTAGATTATTTACAGTGTCTCTGCTGAATTCTGTCAAACCAGGGCTTTTTTTCTAGAATAAAGGTGCCGGTACTTATCATGAATTATACAAACAAATGTACCATTACCCATCACAGAGTGTCTATTATAAACGAGCTGAAAATGCCTAGACAAAGGTGCCGGTACTGTGTACCGCCCGAAAAATGAGTATTGTAATCTCACCGAAATGTTCATTGACTTTCATCAAAACTCAATGACTGAAAGAGTTTAGGTAATATAAGATTTAAGGATGATAAAGTGGTGAAAAAAGGGAGGATAAAGTGCAGATAAACAGATATCCACAACAGATTGGGAGATATGGAGGGAGGGGGGGGGTGTGGGTCTCTCTGTGTGTGGGTGTGTGTGTGTTGGGGGAGGAAAAAAAAGGGAAGGGGTTTTGTTGGCGAAGTGGTCAAACTGTTTGCTTCATACTCTGATGGTTGTGGATTGGATGTGGGACGGTGACCTTCCATTAACGAGTGTCGGGTGTCGGAGATCCCGT